GCCAGGTAGTATTCCACTGTGTACATGTACCACGGTTTTTTATCTACTCATCTACTGATGGGCACTTGGGCTGCTTCCAGATCTTGGCTATTGTAAATAATGCTACAGAAACATAGGGGTACATATATTATTTCAAATTAGTGTTTCTGGTTTCTTTGGATGTATTCCCAGAAGTGGGATCACTGGTCATAAAGCAGTTCCATTTTTAATTTTGGGGAGAAAAGTCATACTTTTTTCCACAGTGGCTGCACAAAGCTGCATTCCCACCAAAAGTGCACAAGGGTTCCCTTTTCTCCACATCCTCACCAACACTTGTTTGTTGATTTATTGATAATAGCCATTCTGAAAGGTGTGAAGTGATATCTCATTGTGGTTTTAATTTGCATTTCTCTGATGATTAGTGAAGTTGAGCATCTTTTCATATGTTTATTGGTCATCTGTGTGTCCTCTCTGGAGAATTGTCTATTCAGGCCCTTTGCCCATTTTTTAGTTGGATTTTTTGTTTTTTTGATGTTGAGTTGTATAAGCTCTTTATAAATTTTGGATATTAACCCTTTATCAGACATATCACTGGTGAATATGTTCTCCCATTCAGTGTGTTTTCTTTTCACTTTGTTGGTGGTTTCCACTGCTGTGCCAAAACTTTTGTTTGATGTAGCCCCATTTGTTTATTTTTTCTTCTGTTTCCCTTGCCCAAGGGGATATATCAGAAAAAAATATTTCTATGAGAAATGTCTGAGATTTTACTGCCTATGGATTTTTATGGTTTTGAGTCTAACATTTAAGTCTTTAATCCATTTTGAGTTTATTCTTGTGTATGGTGTAATAAGGTGCTCCGGTTTCAACTTTTTGCACATATTTTTCCAATTTTTCAACACCATTTATTGAATAGACTATCTTTAACCCATTGTATACTCTTGCCTCCTTTGTCAAATATAAATTAGCCATAAAGGCATGGGCTTTCTAATCTGTTCCATTGATCTATATATTTGTATATCCGTTTTTATGCCAGTACCAAGCTGTTTTGATCAGTATGACCCTTGTAGTATAGTTTGATATCCAGTATTGTGATCTCTCCTACTGTGTTCTTCTTTCTCAAGATTGCTGTGGCTATTTGGAGTCTTTTGTGATTGCATATAAATTTTTGGAATATTTGTTCTAGTTCTGTGAAATATGCCATTGGTATCTTGATAGGAATTGCCTTGAATCTATAGATTCGTTTGGGTAGTATGGACATTTTAATGATGTTAATTCTTCCTATCCATGAACATGGTCTATGCTTCCACTTATTTGTATCTTCTTCAATTTCTTTCTTCAGTGTTTTATAATTTTCTGAGTACAGATCTTTTACATCCTTGGTTAAATTTATTCCTATTTTATTTCTTTTTGATGGAATTGTAAATGAGATTGTTTTCTTAGTCTCCCTTTCTCATAGTTCATTATTGGTGTATAAAAATGCAACTGATTTCTGAATATTTATTTTGGATTCTGCTACTTTACTGAATTCATTTATCAATTCTAGAAGTTTTTTGGTGGAATCGTTAGGGTTCTCTCTATATAGTATTGGGTCATCATCAAATAAAGACAGTTTTACTTCCTCCTTTCCAATTTTGATGCTTTTTATTTCTTCTTCTTGTCTGATAGCTGTGACTAGAACTTTTAGTACTATGTTGAATAAGAGCAGTGAAAGTGGACATCCCTGTCTTGTTCTCGATCTTAAGGGAAACACAGTTTTTACCCATTGAGTATGGTGTTGGCTATAGGTTTGTCATATATGGCCTTTATTATGTTGAGGTATGTTCCCTCTACTCCCACTTTGCTGAGAGTTTTTATCATATGTGAATGCTGGATTTTATCAAATGCTCTTTGTACATCTATTGATATGATCATGTGATTTTATCCTTCATTTCATTTATGTGTGTATCACGTTTATTGATTTGCAGATATTGTATCAACCTTGCATCCCCCCAAAATCCCACTTGATCATGGTATATGATCTTTTAAATGTTGCTGGATCCAGTTTTCTCATACTTTTTGAAGATTTTTGTATCTATACTCATCAGGGATATTGACCTATAACTTTCTTTGTAGTGTCTTTATCTGGTTTCAGAATCAGGATAATGCTGGCCTCGTAAAATAAGCATGGGAATCTTCTTCCTCTTAAGTTTTTGGAATGGTTTGAGGAGGATAGTCGCTAGTTCTTCTTTGAATGTTTGGTAAAATGCATCTATGAATCCATCTAGTCCAGGACTTTTGTTTGTTGGGAGGTTTTATTTATTTATTATTACTGCTTTAATTTCATTAGTTGTAATCTGTCTATTCAGATGTTCTGATTCTTCCTGATTCAGTTTTGGAAGAGTGTATGTTTCTAGGAATTTATCCATTTTGTCCAGATTGTCCAATTTGTTGGCATATGTCCAATTTGTTCATGATATTTTCTTACAATCCTTTGTATTTCTTAGGTGTCAGTTGTTACTTCTCCTTTTTCATTTCTGATTTTATGTATTTGAGTGCTCTTTCTCTTTTTCTTGATGATTCTGGTTAAAGATTTTTCAATCTTGTTTATCTTTTCAAAGAACCAGCTCTTGGTTTCATTGATCTTTTGTTTTGTTTTTTACACTCTATTTCTTTTCTTTCTGCTCTGATCTTTATTATTTCCTTTCTTTTACTCACTTTGGGCTTTGTCTGTTGTTGTTGTTTTCTAGTTCCTTTTAGAGTAAAATCAGATTGTTTATGGGAGATTTTTCTTATTTCTTGAGGTAGGCCTGTAATACTATTAATTTTCCTCTTAGGACTGCTTTTGCTGTGTTTCATAGGTTTGGGGTTGCTGTGTTCTCACTTTCATTTGTTTATTTTTTATTTTTTATTTTTTTTTAAATATATCTTTATTGACTTCAGAGAGAGGAAGGGAGAGGGAGAGAGAGATAGAAACATCAATGATGAGAGAGTCATTGACCAGCTGCAGCCTGCAACCTGGGCATGTGCCCTGACCGGGAATCTAACCCTAATAGCCTGGATCCTAGGTCGATGCTCAACCGCTGAGCCACACCCGGCCAGGCTCATTTTCATTTGTTTAAAAGTATCTTTTTATTTTCTCATTGATCTCATTGTTTAGTACATGTTATTTACCCTCCACGTCTTCCTGTGTTTCTCAGTTTATTATTTGTGATTGCTTTCTAGTTTCATTTATGGTCAGAGAAGATGCTTGATATGATTTCAATCTTCTTAAATTTATTGAGACTTGTTTTGTGTTCTAACATGTGGTCTATCCTAGAAAATGTTCCATGTGCACTTGCAAACAATGTATATTCTGCTTCTTTGGGGTGAAATGCTCTGAAGACACCAATGAAATCCATTTGATCTAATGTGTGATTTAAGGCCACTGTTTCCTTGTTGATTTTTTGTTTAGAATATCTATCCATTGATGTCAATGGGGTGTCAAAATTCCTTACTATGATTGTATTTCTGTCAGTTTCTCCCTTTATGTCCATCAAGATTTGCTTAGGTGCTCCTATGTTAGGTGCATAAATTTTTACGAGGGATGTATCCTCTTGTTGAATTGTTCCCTTTATCATTATGTAGTGTCCTCCTTTGACTCTTACTATAGCCTTTGTTTTAAAGTCTATTTTGTCACATATAAGTTTTGCTACCCCAGCTCTGTTTTCATTTCCATCTACATGAAATATCTTTTTCCATTCCTTTATTTTTAGTCTTTGTGTCTTTCATTCTGAGGTAGGTCTCTTATAGACAGCATATATATGGGTCTTGTTTTCTTATCCATTCAGCTATTCTATTTCTTTTGATTGGAGCATTTAAACCATTTACATTTAAAGTGATTATTAATAGGTATGTATTTATCCATAGTTTATTCTTTTAATTATGTTCCTCTGGGTATTTTCTTCTTCTTCTTCTTTTCTTCTTCTTCTTTTTCTTCTTCTTCTTCTTCTTCTTATTCTTATTCTTATTCTTATTCTTATTCTTATTCTTATTCTTATTCTTATTCTTACTCTTATTCTTCAAGTAGACCCTTTAACGTTTCTTGTAATTCTGGTTTTGTGGTAATGAATTCTTTTAACTTCTCCTTGTCTGAGAAGTTTGTTATTTCTCCTTCAATTTTAAATAATAACCTTGCTGGGTAGAGTAATCTTGGTTGTAGGTCTTTGCTTTTCATCACTTTGAATATTTTATGCCATTCCCTTCTGGCCTGAAATAGTTGTACTGAGAAATCAGATGACAAGTCTTGTAGGAGTTGAGAGGGTGGGGCTGCCAGGAACCTGGAGAATGGGGTATCAGATCTCCTGTGAGGGGAAGGCACCAATCAGGTTCATGGGAAAATGGGGGGAATGGCCCGTACCCCAAAGCCACATAACTCAGTCACTGACACCCCCTGAGTCTGCCCGGACCTCTACATCCTGCCCAGGCAGCTGACTCGTGGGAATCCAGAGAGTGGAGCTGTTGTCTTCCCCCAGGCTGATGCCATATGGAAGGGAGCCCTCCTCTCAAGAAAGATGGTGTCTGCAGTGTGGGACAGTAATTCAGCACAGAGAGCCTGGTGACTGTCCCTTCAGCTCTTTCCCCAGAGTCCCAAACCCCAGTCTCACCTCACATGACTTTAGTCCTCTCTGCCCTCCCTCCACTGCAGCCCAGGGTGAGTGGCTGTGAACAAGATTTTGTGTGCTGGCTTAAGAGGATGCCTGGGTTTCTAGCAGACTCTCCTGTCTCTCCCTGACAGATGGAATCCTGTTGATTTTCACAGCCAGATGTTACGTGGGCACCTCCTAGAATCTTAACCCCACCCACTGTCCTTGACATTCCCCCCTCCACACACACACACACACACACACACACAAATATGCACACTTCCTCATTAGGGATACCACCTCACAAGTGCTCAACAGTTCCAGTATTTTGTCTATGGTTCTAAACATAAGTGTGGTCTTTAAAAAGAGACACAATGATATTTTGTGAGTGTTTGATATGGGTTCTCTTGCCTTTTCCAGGGAAAACAGAAGCCTATTTGGAAGCCATCAGAAAAAACATTGAATGGTTGAAGAAACACAACACAAAAGGAAATAAAGGTAAGGCTTCAGTGTGGTTATCAATTGCAAACTTTGCCCATTTCTCAGGGGCTCTTGTTAAATAGTCCCACAATCAAATTAGGCTAAAGTGTCCTCTCAGAGCCAAGAAAGATTCTAGCACCTCTCAGATGCAGAAGGGAACCCCCATTTCCCTTATTTTTCAAGCCAGCCTTTCAAACAAAGGCACTTTTCCCTTTCTTTGGCATTTTATGATGAAAAAAAATGTCAAACACAAGGAGAGAGAATAATATAATGAATCCCTGTGTGTCCATCACCCACCTTCAATAATTATCAACATTTTGACAATCTTGTTTTGTTTATCCCTCCCCCCCCTTCTTGGAGTATTTTAAACAGAGGCATTTTCTAAACACATGTTAGGTGCACTTGGCAGTCACAAAAACAGTCACTCAGTTAAAACACGACACGACTGGGCTCTGTTCTGAGTGCCAGCAATGTGAAGCACAGTAAAATGCAGCACACCCGCCCTCAAGTTGCTCACAGCACCAGTAAAGCACCGCTGGCACTGTGTGGTACTATCACTGACAGGCGTGGTGGTGCAAAGTAGTGAGAAGAGGGGGCACATCTTACAGAGACAGAGATCACTGGGAGAAATGATTTTCATCATTGATGTTTCTATCTCTCTCTCGCTCCCTTCCTCTCTCTGAAATCAATAAAAACATATTTTTTAAAAAAGAAATTTCAAAGAAATCTTAACAAAAAAACCCACAGAAATCTATCTGGTGAGTGTGGTTTCAGATTGGAAAAATAAGATCCCAAAAGTCTGGAGAGAGATAGGAGGCAAGGATTTGGAGCAGAAATGATGGGGCTTAAAGCAGGGCAAGGCAGGGAAAATAAAAAAGGGAGAAACTTGAGAGCTATGTTGAGAGAGAGGAGCCAATATGATTCCCAGGTGTCTGGACAGAGCAGTTGCAAAGTGATGCTTTTAAAATGAGGCGAGCACTGCTTCTCAAACCTTAAAGTGCATTCAAAGCACATGCAGAGCTTCTACATATCTTGATGCCCAGGGGCCACCAGTAAATCAGAAACTTGAGGGGCAGGACCCAGGCATCAGTATTTTTTAAATCCCCCATCTTTCCACCATGCAGCCAAGTTTGAGAACTGCTGAGATAGAGCACAGTAGGAAGAAGGCGTATTTTCAGCCCCCTTTACCCTTGTAAGTTGAGCAAGATGGAAGCAATTATCAAGTCTTCACACATATCCATTTTATATGGCTCAACATAATGTGAATTTCCAAGCTGCCACTTCTATTAAAATTCATATGAACTGTATTTCATCAAATCTGTCACTGATTGGAAAATGCACTATTGTTTAATGCATCCCTAAGGAAGAAAAAGTATATATAACATGCCATCAATGACTACGAAGACTTGAAAATAAAATAAAAAATTAAAAACCTATCTTAGAATCAGTAGGGGCCCAAATGCATTCCAAAACCAATGCAAATTGCATGGTCCAACAATTTGGACTATTTATGTTATTTCTTTCACTGATTAACAGATGAATCAAACTCCTGGTCATAACCAGCGACATCCTGCAATTCAATCTTTCACTTTAAGAAACAACCAACTTAGTCAAGCGTGGAACTCTGGTGCTTGCATATCAAAGGCTCTGTGAGCAAACTCAGAATGACAGGGCTGAGTCAGATGTTCCCTTCTGCCTCCAGGAGATGAGGGGAACATGCAATACGCCCTCCTGAAGGCAGAAGCAGAGAGCTTTTTCTCCACAGCCTTCAGACATGCTCAGCTAGACTTGGGTCATCCCTCAAAGCCTGTGGGGATCCAGGCCCGGGGGCCACGTAGTGGCTGCAGCTCTGCGAGGGGGAAGGAAGCCTTGCTACAGTGTGAGCTCTGCCTTCCTTACCGTCTACCGATGCCCTTTGTTTGGCAGGGGCCTGGGAGACCAAGTCCAGGACAGAAAGGTCCATATGCTGTGACAGTGAGGGTGATGATAAAATCTTATGCAGCCTTTTTTATAAAAAAAGAAAAGAAAAAAAAAGAAAAAGTGTGCGTTTTAAAAAGTAAACCACAGCACTTCTCACTTTGATCCCTAACAACCTTAAAACCTCTTTTAAGATGAGCGAGGCGAGCACTGCCTTGTGTATTATCACAACCAGCTACGGCCTTTCCTCTGCGTCGGGCTGGTTTTCCTGGCACAGTGGTAGCTACGTCATAAAGATACAGTTTTCCCACTTCAAAAGAAAGCACATTATTTTCCCGTTTGTCCCTTCAAATCACCTGGACCTCTTCACATCTGCCCCTGGGAGTCTGCCTTTGGTTCCACCAGGGATGTTGACCCTGCAGCTGAGTCTGAAGAGTATTAGTGTGAACCAGCGAGCCAGCCGGGAGCCAGCCAGCGAGGCGCACACAAAACATTCGCTCGGCTTGGTTCTCTGTTTTATGCCTGAGACAAAGGGAAAGTCAAACAGCAGCAAAAAACCCAAGCGCATACTGAACATTTGTTCTGCACCAATTAGAAGCTTCAGGTTCATCATTAAGGCCACAGAGTGGTCAAAGCAGTGACTACAGACTGGCCTGGGTTCAGAAGCTGACTCTACCATGACCTGGGCATGTGACTCACCGACTCTGTCCTGTTTCTTCCCTCTGAAATGGAAATACTAATGCTCACCTCATAGGGTTTCTTGAGGAGCAGATCAGATGACGGTTGTAAAGCGCTCAATGCCCGGACTTATCTCTTTAATCCTCAAGGCTGTGCCCTAGTGGGGAGCAAAAGCCCTCCTTGGTGGAAACAAGCTCTCTAAAGCCTCAGCTCACAGTGATATAATAAACACCTGGTGCTTGTAGAGAGGTCCTTCAGGCTTAGCTGTTGTTTTTTATATGTTTTTTTATTGATTTGAGAGAGAAAGACAGAAAAAAAACATTGATGAGAGGTACATCTGCCTCCTGACTACCCCCCCCCCCC